TAAAAAATATAATTTTAATGAAAATTCTTTTTCAAGGAATTTAGAAAACTTAATTTTAAGAAATAACATGAATATTAAAAACAAAAAATTATTGGATAACCGTGTATTTATCCTAATTCAAAGTATTCACTACATTACACAGAAATAATATTATTGTAAATTTCTTACAGCGATTACTGTCAAAAAATTAATAAATCACAACAAACTTAGATATATTTAAATATTTCATGGTAGTATACAAAAATATATAAAATATATAATAATTATATAAAAATATGTATTTTACCAACTCTTCCATAAGTACCAGTTTGGGATCATGAAATATTCCTGGTTTTTGAATATTATACTTAATGGCAAAGGTATTGAACACACAAATATTTAATTAAATTACCTGTTTCAATTGCTTTGAGTTCAATTACATCATTTTTAACGTATACATAGATCAATTATTCGTGATTACTGATAGTTCGTAAAATTGCTTGCAAGTGAAACAAAGCTTACTGAATCGTCAAATTGTTTTTTAACGAATCGGTATACGAATTTAATTGTCGAGAGTTACCTTTCCAGCACTCAAGCACGGCTGATAAACCGATGAACGGTCCAATAAATTGTGAGAATATACCATGTGTTCTTATAATAATGCTTTGTTTCGTATTGCCAATGTACACAAGATTACATTCGTTGCTACTATATCATATAGCAGTTATTACGGCGCATATTCCAGAATTTCTGCCTGAAAGAATTTTAACAGAAAATTTCATCTTTAAAATAATTAGATATTATTTCGATTTTCGATGCATTTCGATTTATAGTTTTTCTTGTTTATTTAAATTCACGAAAATTGCAGATACATTTGTCAATTTTACTATAAATGTATCTACATTTTTCTGAGAAATAATACTTAACTTTGTAGAGCTTAATCAATGCGAAACATTAATATGCTTTTAGTATTTTTTAATTAAAAATTCTACGATTGATTAAAATAATAATTTTAACATACTGATTAATAATTTCAATAATATATTAGAAGTAATATACCTCTTATTATGTAATTAAATAAACAATTGCATTAGACTTAATAATAATTATCATTTATTTAAAACATAGAACAATAATTGTTGATCGAGCCAACCATTTACCCGTTAACAATATGGTTTTCGCTAAGGTGTGGGAGTGTATGTTTTCATTCGCAAAGCTTTGCAACTTCAATATCAAAATATAAAGGAATCTCGTTACATCGTTTTGATTTCGTTTGTTTTAAAACAGAGTAATTGTAATAGATTATACATTGTTGAGCATTTGTAACTGAAGAGCCAATTAATAGGCTTGCAATAGATAAAGTATTAATTGTGTATAATATAAATAATAAATAATTCTGTCCATGTAAAACAGTTATTAAAATCAAATGTTATTCAAATACCGGTTACCTATCGTTTACAAGAAGTTTTAACTTTAGTACAAGGCATCATACCAGAAAAGTACGCAATTGGAGGATATCTGCTGTCAAACGCGAAAATAATCGGAAATACACCCATTTCTGCTAATGATTCCTGTTACCGACGACATCGACAGGATGACACTATTGTTTCCTTTAAGACTTGATGTCTCGTGGATATTGAAAGTGGTATTTATAAAAATGAGAATATTTATAACAATATTTAAATATTATCCAGTAGCAGGAGTAAAGAAACAAAAATCTGATTTTACAAGATTTCATTAATTTTATTAACAACTAAATTCCATTAACAGTTTTTATTGGTCTTTTCGCTTTCCGTGCTCGATATTTGGGATGTTAAAAGAACTTTATCAATTACAGAATAAATAATAATCTGTATAGGTCTACCATATATTAGAAATCTCGGAGAAGAAGTAATTATTAGGGCCTTGCAATATAACAGGGAAGTCTGTAGGGACAGCTTTGCCGCCAGCAGTTTAAGCCCGACCCATTTTTATGTTGAATGTTCATTTAATATTTACAGTTATTAGGTTGCATTTCTGTCTGCCATGTTTTGAACTTTCGTGCTTATGTGGATCCCTACACTGTAAAACCTTTATAAATCTGAGGAGTGGGATGGCTCTACCGGAGAAAGGGGAATAAGTAGTACCTGATCTGCTAGGTCTCGAACTTTTTTTCTTTTCCTAGACGCGTACAGTTAGAACTATCTATAATATGAGAACTACCAAGCATTTAACACTAAAACTACCGGACGGGTCAAATTGATTCATTTCACGATTTTTATTTTGCAAGTATTTAAATTATGAGAGTGTTTTTGTGAAAGATTTTCATTTAAATTCGCGTATTTGCGCAGATGCAAGACTAGGAGACCCTTCGAATCTTAAGAAACATATTGTTCTAATTTTTATAAAAAATTGGAAATAAGTTTCTCTGATTGCTCGGTAGTTTTAGTGTTAATATAATTAATATGTATTCCTTATAGGAACTGTAGCAGTAGATTTTTTCAGATTCTTTGTGTATTCATCATACTATCCAAGTGAAACTATTCTTCAAGTGATTTCGGATATCTAACACTTTTAAAGTATCAATAATTGCGAAATAAGAAAACTGAAATCTGTCATTTCGTTGAGTGCGGTAGTTCTAATATTAATGCTTGATAAACCTCTACATGGCCCTTAGAGAGATTAATTGTAAGTTTCAAATTGACATTTTGAATTCCGTGATGATTATCAATGATTTGTGTTACGAAATTGTTAAAAAAAGATTAAAACACGATTAATTTCACAGCGTAAATACTTTTTAATAATCTAAGTAACTAGATAATAGTATAACGTAAAAGGCGGGAAAATCCGTGAGTTTATAGTTGATATACGTTCAACTAAGTTTGCATCAGAAAATATGAGGGATCTTTCATCTGTGCCGAGAAAAGCTTCGCATTTACGTTATGAGGCAATTCTAGTACAAACTATGGATGGAAATTGTGTGTAGTAATATATGAGATAAAATTGATCGAGAAATGCATTCGGTTTCTAAATAACTTGATCGTTTCAAATACTCTCGGTAAGCATTCGTTAACAAATAGTATTATTTTTTACGTTTCGTGCATTGTAATAATTACCTCAAATCAATGTAAAATAAAACATGTAAGAGGAGATTCACGTAATGTTTTATTGACGATGTTTACACGATCAAGGAGCATTGAATTTAAACTGTAAAACTAGCAGCACGGAAAGAATATTTGCCATCAAATTGAATCTTCGAATGAAGCTTTCCGTGCCAATTAATGAAGCGAAAGGGAACATTTAAAATTAACAGAGAAAAAGATTTGCGAGAAAGGATGATATGTGAGATAAAATTGGCTCTGTGGATGTATAAGCTTTAAAATTGCTATTATATAACAATAATCTTTGTACAAAAATATAATTTAAAAAAAAACAAATAAAATGGAATAAATATATGAAATTAATGTTTGTAGATAGTTTTTTGTCTCGCGTAGTGTATAATGGAGAGAATGCTATTTCCTGTGGATTCTATGTTCAGTGTTTCCATTTATCCGAGCTTAACAAGCAAGTTCTCCAGTGTGAAACTTTCAATGTTTTCGTGGAACTTAACTCGAATGTATCGCATGGTTATTTAAACTTCCCAGGATTGTATGATGCGTAGTCAATAGAGGGTGGTGAGTTCATTTCTATTTATCACTCTCGGTATCACTTGTTGCATTTCTATTAGCAAAAACGAAATAATACCATCGTTAAATATTTTCGTTTAGTATTAAATATTAGAAGAAAGTCTTTATAAGTAAAATTGCATCGACGAAGGAGTTTGCAACGAAGTTTCATGGAAGAAAGTACGTTATTTAAAAAATCCACAAAATATTTTTGATTGATGACAAGATATTTCCTTCCATGGTTACTCCTACAGTTGCATCGTCAGTTTCTGTCGGGGCATGCACATGGTAAGCGGTAATCAAACACTTTACTCTTTTTAATATAGAACTTTCTGCTACTTTAAACAAATTTTTCTTTTTTCACTTCGTTCTTCCCGGAGTTCTTCCTTCTCAGATGGTGCACATGGATGCCAGGATTAGTGATCAGCTGTGCACTTTACATTCTTCCACGTCGATGATAAACAGGGTTAGTGGTTTCAACGTGATAACGGTTCGATTATAAAAATTACGCTTAACGCTATAGTTTATCAGTCGAACGATGCACTTCTTCTTCGCTCAGATACGATCAACCCTTATTTTTTATGCGAAGTGACGTAGAATCTTATAAAATCTTCAAGACAAATATTTCGATCAATTTATACGAATATTGTTCCAATTTTTCGACGTTTTCAATTATATTTTGTAACTGCTTACTGAAGATTTTTAAGATTATTATTCATTTCTTAATTTACATGATTAATTTATGTAAATGATTATAATTAAGAACACGAGCTTTTTTCTTGCAGTTGGAGATAAGAAAGAATTAAACGGAAAACTCTGTAAACTGATTAAACAATTCGATGTGTTTATTAACTAAATTTTGTAAATACTTCGCTGCACTGTGCATTTTCATACAAGTTCACACCTCCTAAAAGAAATTTCATTCTCTTTTTGTTAGTGAGTTTTACAGTTTTATTATACAACGTTGTACTATTGCTACCATCAATTTTTTATGAGTTTAATTCAAAACGGCTTGCATTTAAACAACAGATGATCGCAACTCATATTTGCAACAATATTAACTTTTCCCTTAGTGGTCGGTATATTGGCCATTTCCACGGAATTTGAGAGATACCCAAAACAATAGAAAGGGCATAAGTAATGGCATATGTGTCACAATAAAGCAACGTACAGTTCATTCCGATACCAATGCGACATTGTCGAATCTGACGGTTTTAAAATATGGAATGATTCCCCATTCACTGTAATTCCACTGCCAAATAAAAACACGGGATGTTTTCAATTGGCGAATGTAAATCAATTTTCATTGGCTGAAGATTCACTGCTGTGAAAAGGTTGAAAACGATTGAAAAGGAACTCAAGTGTACTTAAATATCGTTTTATTACTATGAAAGTAGATTGTAATACTCTGCAATAATGATTTTCATTCATTTACTTCACAACACATCTATACTCCACTCTATCCAAATACTCAAATTCAGATTTGAGGAATTAATTTAACTCCTACTATTACGATATTGTGTCGTGATGAAAATTTTCAACCGAACTAGACAATTGTAAATGTTACTTACTTACTTCTTATATAAATAAAATGTTACTTGTCTTATATAAATGAAATATATAAATATGTTTTGTATAAATGAAATATTATCAATCTTTAATTTTTAGAATAAACATAGATATAAAATAAGTATTAACTTCTTTTCTTTTGATTGTCTAGAAAACACCTATATAAAACAAAATTGAACCACACTGAGATCTTTGCTTATGGCTGACAACTTAAGTGCTAATCAGCTGTCAGCACATGTGTTTCGGTTGATTACGCAGCTGTAAATTTTTGTTCACAAAACTCATATTAAAAAAAAATACATATTCAGGGATGAAAGGGTGTCAGTTCGGCAGGAAGGTAATATTAAAACTAAAACTACCACATGGATCTAAATGGCCCATTCCTGATTTCATTTTGTAATTATTAAAAAGATAACAAATGTTTCTCTGAGAAATTTAACAATACATGAATTGAATTATAAATCAATTAAAATCTCAATAGATGCACTCTTAAAATTTCTACAGAGAAATTTCAAAAAGTCAATTTAACTGCTCTGTAGTTTTAGTGTAAAGCCCAGTAAAGCAATCATAATGTAACAAGCTTTATACAGGTATAAGGACATCGTTCACAGGTATTGCGTATTAACTACCCAAGGGAAGCCAAAAAAAGAAGAAAACACAAACATCGAGATAGTCTGATGATATTTAATTTGAACGAAGTCTGGAGAGAGAGTTACTCGAAAGTCTGTTGTCAGCAATTTAGTAAAATACATTTATGTTGTTAATTATTTATACAATATGTCCTTATAGTTTGTTAAACCTGCGAGTTGTTGTAATCCCCACACAGTTTACTATATATTAACTATAACTATATAAAACTATATAAAACTGTATAAAACTATATTATAAGACTATGTAAATCTATATGAATATATATAAATCTATATAAATCTATATAAATCTATATAAATCTATATAAATCTATATAAATCTATATAAATCTATATAAATCTATATAAATCTATATAAATCTATATAAATCTATATAAATCTATATAAATCTATATAAATCTATATGAATCTATATAAATCTATATAAATCTATATAAATCTATATAAATCTATATAAATCTATATAAATCTATATAAATCTATATAAATCTATATAAATCTATATAAATCTATATAAATCTATATAAATCTATATGAATCTATATAAAGCTATGTAAAGGTATATAAATCTATATATGTACATATATATGATCAGTGCGTGTACGAACACCACCCACAGTGTCTGCGTAGTCAGCATGCTCCATGGCGATGTCGACTGCGCCACTCTGGTTTCCACTCCCGTAAAAGAAGGAACGCTCGACGTTCCCTTCGTTCATTCACAACCACCTGCTCGCCGAGGAAGCATCTACCCCTCTGGTTCATCTGACTCTTCGACCCACCGCCGACCAAGTTCAGAGGAAGAGCTCGCCGATGGACAGAATGAGGAGCTACAGGACTTCCGGTATCCCACTGACGGTCGGCGTTTCCGTTTGCGCGCTAATCCTCCTACTCTTCGCCAGTGGCACTACCCACGCTAAACGTGAGTAACTGTTCGTCGATTCGTTCTTAGTGACTTGAAGATTTTTTCGTCAGACATTATTTTCTAATGAAATATTAATACATTGTTGACCGGAAATTTTACGCAGGAGTTATTCTATGCCACCGATCACTATTCCGTAATTAAATATGAAAGTGAAACAATTTAAATAAACTTCAATGCACATTATTTATACCTAATGAATTGAAATGAAACTTTGGACATATGTTTTACATAAGTTTTAATATTTTACTTTTGCAATATTCTATATTGGCTTGCATTTCAATTGAAATGGCTAATGCAAGTGCAAACACGAGTTAGTTCATGACCGGTCAACAATGCATTTTCGCAACTAACATAAGTATATAACAAAGAGATAGAATTATTCTATTTGAAGATTTCATTTATAATTACATTATATGAACTTTGCTATCGAATATCGAACATTATCATTTTACTGCATCAAACCAAACGGTGACTGTAAGTCCCCTCTCGACCGCAAAGGGTTAATTATTCGTATGATTTTTACACGTCTAACATGTTACAAACATGCGACGCCGAACATTTTCTAGTTTGCGCGAAGAAAATTAAATTGCTTTCACATGCGTTTGTACTTAAAAACGTAACGCATGGTATATACAAGGTATGGAAAGTTGTCGTGTTATTTTCCTTGCGCTTTAATTGCATTTTACGAAAAGATTTGCCACGTTTAATAAAGTATTGTGACTGTGAAGATGAATATTGAAATAAACGTTGGTTGCGAACGTATTAAAATATAGTAAATGGATTAAACAAAGTATTTTACGTAAATGTCGTATATGTATGGTATTTTAATATAGCCAAAACGACAATAGGATACACTATGAGATAGATATATACTCAAACTATCGGACGGGTGAAAGTGAACCTCTTCAGAATTTTTATTTTACAAGTATTTAAATTGTAAAGGCGTTTTTGCGAAAGATTTTTTTATTTAATTCGTATATTTGTACAGATACAAAACTGGTAAAACCTTCGAATTTCAAGAAACGTATTGTTCTAATTTGTAAAAAAAGTCGGTAAAAATTCATTCTAATTGCTCGGTTGTTTTGGTGTTAATATCATTATAGCAACGGTAATTAACAGCGTCACATATATGTGACGCGTGGTCGCGAACGCGTTAACCGTTCGAGAGCCACGGGACTTTGTAAAAACCCGGCCGAAAAGTGGCGAGCGCCGCGACCATGCTTCTTTCGTTTCAGCGGTAAGCGTCTAAGCAGGTAATAAAAAAATGAAAATGAATGAAAGAAAAATGAATAAGCAAACTTAATTTGATTCTAAGAACCGATAAGTTAGCACTTTTAGGCATTGTAATGATTAAACCGATTGAAATACCAACAACCTGTTCCACCACTTATTGTTTTCAACGATACCACTCTCGATAATAGTATAATTCGACAATTCACCGGTGAAATATGTTTCAAATGTTAAGCTGAATGAACGTTACAAATTCATAAGGGGACTTCTTAAGTGGTGATGTTTAAAATCTTCAGTAGCTTAAGCCAATGAATGCAACGTTCGTTTATTTTTGATTGCGCACTGTTTTCGATGATATAATGTGATTTAATTTTACAATAGAATTTTAAATGCCAAATTAGATTGACAGTAACGATTTTTTATGTGAAGGACTTATTGATTGATTAGGTTTAGAATGGTGTTTGTCATTATCAAGGAGAAACGTTCGTGGACGCTGGGTGTTTTCCTAGAATCATGCTTGTGGAATTGTAATGTTTATTTTATTACTGTTTTAAAATTTATTGTGTGCGAGGGTATCCGTTTTCTTTTAAGATATTTTATTTTTATTATGTCGAAGAAGAAATTGAGAGGTTCTTCATACGATCCCAACTATGTAGTGTGTTTTTCGGTTTAGAAAGTTTCAGTGAGAAATGCATGGGCAGTAAGCGATGCATTTATATTTAAACGTCTCTTTTTTTTAAATTGGATTCACTACGGAATGCATTTGACAGTTTTTTGATTCGTCGTAATTAGACTGAGGATGCTGACGCATTTGTGACGAATACAAATGCAAAGAATATGACGGTATTAACATTCTGATGTAGAATGATAGAATTTAAAATTTCATTATTTAGCTCGGTTAAGATAATTTCTTAAACATTCGATCGAGTTTTCATTAAACACTTGAAATTTTCAATTTTTTAAAATTATATTCTTAAAATTGTGAACAATAAAATTGAATATTCACAGTAATTTTAATTTTACCTTTAACGTAAATGTTTTTGTTCCAAGTGTTTGATAAATGTAAAATAACATGATAAATGGGTACGTAAATATTTGAAACAGTGAAAACCTAAAAATTGCACTGTGAAAATGTGTTTATTGTATACATTTGTAGCGTTCATTGTGATTTCATCTCTTTTTATTTACTTTCCATTTAAATTTATTTAAAATTTCATGTCGTAGAAATGCAAGAAAATCTTTCGAATCATTTGCTATGGTACAAACAAATACGTTAAGAAATATAGAAAGCTAAATAAGATATAGAATATGATATATAAAACTATATTTACTTTAAATTTGTTAGTAAGGAATCAAACAATAAATTCGAACGAAATGAATCGTTAAAAAATTCAGTACACTTAATGCATTTTATTTAATTATACGTATATTCCATTTTATATACGTTAAATAAAACTTTTATTGAAAATTAGGGGTCGAAAGAATGGGCCAGATAAAAGGAGAAATGACAAGAAGATAAAGGTCAGGAGAGTATCCATGTTGATGCATTATTACGCATGCGGAATCTCTTTAATTGCGCTCTTATAACATTCTATTTTTTGTTTTTTAATTGCACAGCTTTAATTACTGATCTTTAGCATCAAAGATACTTTGTAACGAAACAGTTCGATAATAATACCTTCTGATCTAACATTTATTTTCATTACTGCCTTTGGAAAAATATAATACTGCTTGTAGCAACAGGAGTTAATCAAAGCGTATGTTTTACAATCAAAATTAATAATAAAGTAACATAATAATTACTGAAAGATGATAGTAACCGTTGGCTGCGATTATGATGCGCAGTTTTCACAAAACGTTTGTGGTGAATGAAATATGATTTGAAATATAGCCTTCGGGCTTCGAGACTTGTTTAAAACAATATAGTGTATGTGACTGAAGATCCAACAAACAGAATACACCATCTGATTTTCAGTACTACTGTATGGTAACATACTGTTTAATTATTTAGAACATTTCATTCGTTTATCAGCTGGTCATAGTAGCGTATTAAAATAATAATTTTAATAATATTTTTTATAATCTCTTCAATATTATTTTTATAAAAATAATTTTCTTCGTTCACTGCTGCTAAATATTATGAAACCATGGAAAAAGTTTCTAATAGTCATTTCTTAACAGTTTTTTTTAGATTTTTCTTATTAGATATCTAATTACTATGATTTAATCCAATAAATAGTTTTCTAAATAACGTTGCCACAAAAGAAAAAATACCATGTCTTTTATTAGACATAAGTAAAATAGTAATCTCATATATGGAAACCAACATTATTCCTCTAAAGATAGTAAAATATTAGAAAATATGTTAATCCTTGCTGCATAGTCAATTTATGACATTTATTTATTTTACAAAAATTTGTAAATAAGTTTTATTTAATTATTTAATATACACTCATCTAATTTTTTACCATCTCAAAATCTAGTTTTAAATTTAACATCATTTTATAGAAAGGATATGGCTGTAACATCCTATAAAAAGAAAACATGAGAGTTGAAAAATTGAAAGTGGTGCTAAGAAATGGTATCCAATATTGTTTCCAACTCCTAAGAAAGTTGAGACATATATATGAATATGCGTAACTGCACAAGACAACTACTTTAAAATAAGTACAGTGTAAATATTAATGAAGATAAACTAAAAATCTATTTCAAAAGGAAAATGGGTTTCGCCATTATAAATAAATTAAAATAATTTATTTATCAGAATAAGCATATTTTATTACCATTTAACATTTTTATTATCATATAACATTTTTTACTATTTTTTATTAGGTGTTTTACTATATTATTATTTTTATTATTAATTTATTACACTTTTATTATTATTATTTATTCAATACAGCAGTGCAATGTACCTATACAGTAATAATAAAAAAGAATTAAAAAAGTGCAGAATACAGAGATACAATATTAAAATTAAATTAAAAATAGTATATTTTGAACTATGGAGAAACAAAAGTTCGGCGCAACACTATTTCACTTTCGATTCTCGTGTTGGTCAATTCTTCTCTTTTACATGCACACAATTATGCAAATTTGCAATTTTACAAAGAACTTTAGTAAAATCGGAATAAAATGAAGTTATTTAGCAGACTATACTGCTAGCTTCTTAGAACCAAGACTTTTTACAAAATTCTTTAAGAATTTGTATCCCGTTGCATTAGCTTTAGTGCACTTTTATGCGTTACAAATGCACAAAGATCTGCAGCGTAATTGGAAGATATTGGACAAACGGTAACAAGTACAGCACGCTGAACTGCGGCCTTATCATAATTACCTTTCCACGTGTGTGAACGAATTTGTGGTTGTAGGAGCTTAAGGGAGACTTCAAGTGAACAATGCCTCATATTGTTCCATCATCTTCGAAGAAACACGGACGGGTTTCGCGAACAGCCGATAGAGAAGTCGTGACAAACGCACTATCTTCCTCCCTTTGCTTTGACTTTTGGCAGTGTAAATGAGAGAAATATGAAATCAGGTCTAATTGAGTCGTATACACGAGAAAAATTAAATGTTTATAATTATTTTTTATATTAATTATTATTTATAAGGCATTTGTATATACTTATTCCTATCGTAACCGGTCAAATAACTGGTTACAAAAGAAAGGTGAACAAGTAAAACGATAAATTTTTCTTAATGGAAACGGAAACAGAAGAAAGGACAAAAATTGAAAAACTTTTAACCGGACAATATAGGAATTGATA